CCTGGCCCTGGGGACTTGTATACCTGGCCCTGGGGACTTGTATACCTTAATGTATTTCAAGACATCCAACACTTTTCCCCCATTACGTTGACCTTCCTGAGGGTATTCATGTACCTTTCCCTAACCTCAACATCCCTCATGTCTCTTTCTTTGGTGAATACTGATGTCAAGCACTCATTAAGGATCTCATCCATTTCTTCTGGCTCCATACATAACCTCCCTCCTTTATCCTTAAGTGGGCCTACTCATTTAGCATAAAATGCTTTGGGATTCTCCTTAACCCCACTGGCCAAGGACATTTCATAGATCCTTTTAGCTCTACAAACGCACCATTTCAGTTCCTTCCTACTTTCTGAATATTCTTCAAGGACTTCATCTGTTTTTTTTTGTTGCCACAATCTTGGTATGTGTCCTTTTTTTGGACTAAGACGATAATTTCTCCTGTCATCCAAGTTTCCTGAATCCTGCCCTTCATTTTCACAGGAACATGCCTGTCCTGCAGTTTAATCAACTGCTCTTTAAAAGATCCCAACATGTCAGATGTAGATTTACCCTCGAACAGCTGCTCCTAATCCACCTTCTCCATTTCTTGCATAATTAGGTTATATTTGGCCTTGCCCCATTTTCACACCTTCATCCAAGGTCCACTGTTGTTTGTTTCTACAAGTATATGTAATATGTTTTATAGGGCAGCTTTTATGTTCTTCGTGTTAGAGGTGAATAGACTGCCAAGTTTATGAGCAACCTTGTGAGCTACAAAACATGGGTGGCATGGTGGCTTAATAGTTAACACCGCTGTGTTACAGCGCCACGGACCCAGGTTTGATCCTAGCTGACTGTCTGCATGGAGTTTGCACATTCTCCCCATGTCTGCGTGGGTTTCTTCCAGGTGCTCCAGATTCCCCCCTCAGTCCAAAGCTGTGGAGGTGCCAGTGTTGGACTGGAGTGGACAACGTCAAAGGTCCCACAACACCAGGTTTTTGTCCAACAGGTTTCTTTGAAATCACAGCTTTCAAAGTGCCACCCCTTCGTCAGATGAAGTGAAGAGAATATCCAGGTACAGAATTGATAATCAGAGAGATCAAAAGATCACACAGATGGCATGAGTGGAGTGCCGACAGGCAGAATAATAGATCTCTGCAGGTAATCAAGTGTGTCGACGGTGTGAGTAAAGTCAACAATTGAATAACAAGTGAAGGGATGACCTATAGTCCGATTAATTGATGCAGAGAGATAATTACAAAAAATTAAAAATAAGTTGGTGCAGAGGGTTTAACCAAAGTAACAAGAAATACAAAATTGTGCAAACTAATTAAGGTAGAAAGACCGTAACAAGTTATCAAGGTGATGGTGTCAAGACAGGTCAGTAAGGAAGATTTTACAGAACAGTATGGTGAGGTCACGTAGTATGATGTGAACCCAAGATCACAGGTTGAGGCTGTATTCACTGGTATGGAACTAGGCTATCCGTTTCTGCTCAGCGATTCTGTGTTGTGTGTTTGGAAGGCCGCCTTGGAGGACGCTTACCCGTGTATTTCTCACATAGGAGACTTCTGCCTTCCGAAGATACACAAAGCCAACGTACCTGAACGTCCCATCGTATCAGGCAACAGGACCCTGTGTGAGAACATCTCTGGCTGTGTCAAGGGGATCTTGAAACCCATTACACAAGGAAACACCAGCTTCTATCGCAACACTACAGACTTGTTACAGAAACTCAGCACCCATGGACCAGTTGAACCAGGGACATTCCTCGTCACAATGGACCTTTCGGCACTTTACACCAGCATTG